GTGACCACCAACGCCCATATTGGCAATTATGGTGTAAAAGACGATGAAGTAGAATCGGACGGCATTAAGATTTCAGGGCTTATTTGTAAAAATTTCACTTATAAGCACAGCCGGGTGGGGGCCAAAAGCAGCCTGTACAAATACTTTGAAGAAAATAACAAAGTACTGATTTCGGATGTAGATACACGTGCTTTGGTGCGCCACGTGCGTGATAAAGGGGCAATGAATGCGATCATTTCCACGGAAGTGGAGGACATGGAAGCCCTGCGCAGCAAGTTAAAAGAAGTGCCTTCAATGGAGGGCCTGGAACTGAGCAGCAAGGTGGCCACCAAAGAGGCCTATTATTTTGGCGATGAAAATGCCACCTATAAGATTTCGGTGTTAGACCTTGGGGTAAAACGCAATATTTTGCGCCATTTCGCAAATCGCGATTGTTATATGAAGGTATTCCCCATGAATAGCAGCGTGGCTGAAATGCTGGCGTGGAATCCGGATGGCTTGTTTATTGCCAACGGACCTGGAGACCCTGCGGCCATGAATGATACCATTGAAAAGGTAAAAGAAATGTGCCAGGGCGATACGCCCGTTTTCGGGATATGCCTGGGGCATCAATTAATTGCTTTGGCCAACGGGCTGCAAACTTTCAAGATGCATCAGGGCCACCGCGGCATTAACCATCCGGTATTAAACGTACTTACCGGCAAAGGTGAAATTACCACCCAAAATCACGGTTTTGTGGTTAAGATGGATGATCTGGAAGCTGCGCCCGAGCTTGAATTAACGCATAAACACCTCAACGATGGTGGTGTGCAGGGATTGCGCCTAAAAAATAAACCCGTAAGTTCTGTTCAGTATCACCCGGAAGCCTTCCCCGGTCCGCATGACTCGGCTTATCTGTTTGACAATTTTGTTAACGTAATGAAGAACCATAAAAAGAATTAGTATGTCAATGATAGTAGACGTGTTTGCGCGTCAGATATTGGATAGCAGAGGCAACCCTACCGTTGAAGTGGATGTTATTACGGAAGAAGGCTTCATGGGCCGCGCGGCTGTACCTTCAGGTGCGTCTACCGGTGTACACGAAGCGGTGGAACTTCGCGATGGCGGGGATGCATACATGGGCAAAGGCGTTTTGAAGGCCATTGACAATGTAAATGAAATTATTGCGCCCGAGCTGGTGGGAATGGATGCCACCGAGCAAGCGGCTATTGACAATTTATTGCTACACCTCGATGGTACTGAAAACAAAAGCAAATTGGGAGCGAACGCCATGCTGGCGGTATCACTGGCGGTGGCGAAAGCCGGAGCAGAAGCGACCGGGCAAATGCTTTACAACTACATTGGCGGGGTAAATGCGCGCACCTTGCCTGTGCCAATGATGAATATCCTAAACGGTGGCGAACATGCCGATAATGCCATCGACTTTCAAGAGTTTATGGTTATGCCATTTGGCGCCAGCACCTTTTCAGAAGGCTTGCGCTGGGGCACTGAAATATTTCATCACCTGAAGAAGGTTTTGAAGGAGAAAGGCTATAGCACCAATGTAGGCGATGAAGGTGGATTTGCCCCCAATATTCAAAGCAATGAAGAAGCCATTGAAACGGTTTTAACCGCTATTGACCGCGCAGGCTACAAAGCCGGTGAGCAGGTTTGGATAGCAATGGATGCGGCTGCCAGCGAATTTTATGATGAAAAGGAAAAGGTGTATCACTTCAAGAGCAACGGCCAAAAGCTAAGCTCCTCAGAAATGGTGGCATACTGGAACAACTGGGTAAGCAAATACCCCATTATTTCAATTGAAGATGGTCTGCATGAAGACGATTGGCAAGGTTGGCAAATGCTTACCGAAGCCATCGGCAACGATGTTCAATTGGTAGGTGACGACTTATTTGTTACCAACGTAAAGCGCGTTAGTAAGGGAATTGAACAAGGCTGTGCCAACTCTGTTCTAATCAAGGTAAACCAAATAGGAACCTTAACAGAAACCATAGAAACCGTGCAATTGGCACAAGCCAATAATTATACCTGCGTGATGAGTCACCGCAGTGGCGAAACTGAAGACACTACCATTGCCGATTTGGCGGTAGCGTTAAATACCGGGCAAATAAAAACCGGGTCAGCTTCGCGCAGTGATCGTATGGCCAAGTACAATCAATTAATTAGAATTGAAGAAATGCTGGGCGAAACGGCAAAGTTTATCGGAAAGGAATTTAAATACTTAAAATAGCATAACCCCAAATGGAGAAAAAAATGGAGAAACTGAAGGAGCATTTTAGAACTAAAATAGAACCAGCTTCAAAAGAAATTAAAGATTTTATTGCCGAACATGGCGATGAGAAAATTTCAGACGTAAGTATTAAGCAGTTGTACGGGGGTATGCGCGGCATAACCGCCCTGATCACCGAAACCTCCAAGCTCGATCCCGCAGAAGGCATTCGCTTCCGCGGATATAGTATTCCTGAGCTGCAGGAAAAACTACCAACGTATCCGGGCGGAGAAGAGCCCCTGCCCGAGGGCATTTTCTACCTCATGCTCTTCAATGAGCTTCCCGATGATGACACGGTACGCAGAGTAAGCAACAATTGGGTGCGAAGAGCCGCTATTCCTCCGCACGTATTCAAGGTAATTGATTCTCTTCCATTGCATACGCATCCCATGACCCAATTTGTGACGGGAATCATGGCCTTGCGCACCGAAAGCGAATTTCAAAAGGCGTACAGAAAGGGCATCAACAAAAAAGATTACTGGGAGCCTACCTATGAAGACGCCATGAATCTGATTGCCCGCCTCCCGCGCCTGGCTGCATATATTTACCGCAGAATGTATCACAACGGTGATCACATTGAGCCGGATAGCCGCTTAGACTGGGCCGGGAACTTTGCGCACATGCTCGGTTTTGAAAACGATGAGTTCAAGGAAATGCTGCGCTTGTACATGACCATTCACTCCGATCATGAGGGCGGCAATGTTTCTGGACACACCATTCATTTGGTTGGCTCCGCCCTGAGTGATTCGTATCAGGCCTTTGCGGCCGGAATGAATGGCCTGGCTGGACCGTTGCACGGCTTGGCAAACCAGGAAGTTATTCGCTGGACCATGTCGATGCGTGACGAATTAGGCGGGGGCTTGCCTTCTAAGGAACAAATCGCCAATTACGTGAAAAACACCTTGAATGACGGTCAGGTAATTCCGGGATTTGGGCATGCTGTATTGCGCAAAACTGATCCGCGCTACACCGCGCAGCGCGAATTTGCACAAAAACACATGCCGCATGATGAGCTGTTCCAGCTAATCAGCCGCATTTATGAGGTTGTGCCTCCAATATTGCAAGACCTGGGTAAAATCAAAAATCCATGGCCAAACGTAGATGCGCACAGCGGTCAGCTTTTGATGCACTACGGGCTCACACAATACGACTTTTATACCGTTCTCTTTGGTGTAAGTAGGTCGCTGGGTACACTTTCCAGCTTGGTTTGGGACCGCGCCTTAGGCTTCCCAATTGAGCGCCCCGGCAGCACTACTACTCAATTGCTCAAGGAGCAGTTTGCCAAGAAATAAGATCAGCACGAGTAATTCAAATTTTTCTCCAGAGAAGCCGCCTCAGTACAAGGTGGCTTCTTTTATTTTTGACCCGTAGCAAAAACTAGTGCGAGCCTGGCAGAGGATGGCCTTTCCTATTGTTCTGCTAGACCTTCAGGAAGGTCATCGTCAACATTCGATAAGCAACCATATTTGTGGAGCATAGCAGCCATGGGGCGGTAAAAGATTCGGTGCCGGAAATATGAATGGAAGGCTACCTACATCCGCGAAAGCGAAAGCCATTTTGTGAAATTTGGTATAGTTGCGCAAAGGCTTAGATGCCAATGGGCTACACATGCGCATTTTTATTTTAATTGCTTCAAAATCACAAAAATATATAGTACATTTGCGCCCCTTTTTAGCGGAGGGTAAGGCGCTGAAAAGATTGTAAATCAAATAATTACACGAACAACTTCCGCGGACTGAATCCTGTGAAAGCCTTACCAGGAGCGGAATACAAATGATTTCTGCATGTCAGAAGAGAACAAAAAGAAGGCAGAGGAAAAGGTTGAAGAAACCACCAATGCCAGCACTGAAAATTCTAAAAAAGAAGCTAAGGAAACTGCTGAAAAAGCAAAAGCCAAAGCTGAAAAAGCCGATGCCGGTGAAGCGGCAACCGAAAAAACTGCTGAGGAAGTAAAGGCCGAAACCAACGAAGCCAAAGTTGAAGCCAAGGATGCTGATGTAAAGCCCGAGGCCAGTGAAGAGGTGAAGGAAGTGGAAGAGCCCAAACAAAAAGAAGGCGAGAAAGCTGCCGCTCCAACGGAGGTGAAAACCGAAGAAGAGCAAGTAGAGCAGGCGGAAGCCCCTGAAGTAGAAACTGAATCTGCGGAAGCAGAAGAAGAGACTGAATTTGACTGGGATGAATTCGAGTACGGAATTGCCGCCAAGGGCCGCAAGGAACGTGAAGAACTCACCAAGTTGTACGAAGAAACCATCACCACCATTGATGAGCACAGCCTAATTGAGGGCAAGGTTATCAATATGACCGACCGCGAGGCGATTGTAGACATAGGCTACAAATCAGAAGGGGTGATTTCTTTGAATGAATTCCGCTATAACCCGGAATTATCTGTTGGCGACAACGTAGAGGTTCTGGTTGATAAGCAGGAAGATAAAGACGGACAATTAGTACTTTCTCACCGGAAGGCCCGCGCCATAAAGGCCTGGGATCGTGTAAACGAAGCACACGACAACGAGGAAGTAGTGAAAGGTTACGTGAAATGTCGTACCAAAGGTGGTATGATCGTTGACGTTTTTGGAATTGAGGCTTTCTTGCCCGGTTCGCAAATTGACGTGAAGCCTATTCGCGATTACGATGCCTACGTTGACAAAAACATGGAATTCAAGATCGTTAAGATCAACCATGAGTTTAAAAACGTAGTAGTATCTCATAAAGCGCTCATTGAGGCCGACCTTGAAGAGCAGAAGAAAGAAATTATCGGCAAGCTTGAGAAAGGTCAGGTACTGGAAGGCGTGGTGAAAAACATCACTTCTTACGGGGTATTTATTGACCTGGGTGGTGTAGATGGATTGATCCACATCACTGACCTGAGCTGGAGCCGCATTAACCACCCAAGTGAAGTAGTTGAGCTTGATCAAACCCTGAACGTGGTAATCCTTGACTTTGATGAGGATAAAACCCGTATCCAATTGGGTCTGAAGCAGCTTGAGGCCCATCCTTGGGATAACCTAGATGAAAACCTTTCGGTGGGTGATAAGGTAAAAGGCAAAGTTGTAGTACTTGCTGATTACGGTGCCTTTGTAGAGGTGATTCCTGGTGTTGAAGGTCTGATCCACGTAAGTGAAATGAGCTGGAGCACGCACTTGCGTTCTGCTCAGGATTTCATGAGCGTAGGCGATGAAGTTGAAGCCGTGGTGCTTACGCTTGATCGCGAAGAGCGAAAAATGTCACTTGGTATCAAGCAGCTTACGCCTGATCCCTGGACCGACATCACTACCAAATATCCTGTTGGATCTAAGCACAAAGGAACCGTACGCAACTTCACCAACTTTGGTGTTTTTGTAGAGTTGGAAGAGGGCATCGATGGCCTTATCCACATCAGTGACTTGAGCTGGACCAAGAAGATCAAGCACCCAAGTGAGTTTACTTCTATTGGTGCTGTACTGGAAGTAGTTGTTCTTGACAT